GAGAATGGTTCCCAAAAGGCCAGTACAAGCAGTAGGAATAAATTCTGGCGTCACTGTGAGTGGCCCCTCAGTCTGCCCCAGCCATACAACTATCACCCACATTTAGAGGGTCCAGTTTGGTTTTAATGCTGGTTCCTTCCCTGTCTGGCTGGAGTTGGTGAGCTGCCATTAGCTCAGGTAAACTGTTTCAGTGGGTGTCCCCATCATGGTCTTGACCTCTTTGCTCATATTCTCCCTCCTCCCACTCTTCAACTGGAGTTTGGGAGCTCAGCCCAGTGCTCCACTGTGGGTCTCTGCCTCTGTTTCCATCAGATGCTGAATGAAGGTTCTATGGTGACATTTAAGATATTCATCAATCTGACTACAGGGCAAGGCCAGTTCAGGCACCCTCTCCTCTATTGCTTAGGGTCTTAGCTGGGGTCATCCTTGTGGATTCCTGGGACTCTCTCTAGTGCCAGGTTTCTTGCTAGCCCCATAATGCCTCCCTCTTATTCTTCACTTTTTATTTTTTAATAATATTGGTTAATATCTGCAGACATAGCACAAAATGCCCCTCAAACCATTTTAGGCGTATGGTTAGTGGCAGGAAGTGCATTCACATTGCTGTGTACCCGTCACTACCCTCTATCTCCATATGCCTTCCGTATTCCCAAGGGAAACTCCACACTCATCCACAATGATGCTGACTTAGAGTTTTTATTACTGTGAAGAGACACCATGAGCACGGCAACTCTTATAAAGGAAAACATTTAATTGAGGTGGTGGCTTACAGTTTCAGAGGTTCAGTCCATTGTCATCCTGATGGGAGCACGGCAGCGTGCAGGCAGACAGGGTGCTGGCTACACCTTGATCAGAAGGCAGCCGGAAGTAAACTCAGTGTCACTCACTGAGGGAAGCTGGGGCAAAAGAGACCTCAAAGCCCACCCCCACAGTGATACACTTCTTCCAACAAGACCATACCTACTCCAACAAAGCCACACCTAATGGTGCCCCTCCCTATGAGCTTATGACAGCCAATTATATTCAAACTACCACATTCTACTCCCTGGCACCCATAAGCTTGTAACAATATCATAATATAAGTTGTATTTAGTTCAACTTTAAAAGTCCCTATAGTCTATCACATTTCAACAAGGTTTAAAAGTCCAAAGTTCAAAGTCTCTTCTGAGATTCATAAAATCTCTTAACTGTAATTGTAGTTATGTTAGGTATATACAGAAGTAGAGAAAGGTAAAAGCCTAGACGCAAAAGGTAGAGGGGATGATTTAAGTTAAGTAACGCTGACAAGAAACAAGTCAAGCTAAGGCCAGTCATTCATAAGAAAGAATAAACCACCGTGTGTTTGTTTGGGAACTGGGTGGCAGCCCCCCCCAAAGAGCCAAAGAGTAAAAGTTAACAACTACAGCACTTCCTGTTTACTCAGGTAATATTTTATCCTTCTCAGTTCTCTGATGGGGGTTGGATTGTTACCAAAATTAAAAAAAAACTTACAAAAAAGATATAAAGTTTATAAGGTTGAGAGACATAAAAGCTTAAGTTATCTAAGGAAATGTTTTAAGGTCTAAAAGGATATTTTTAGTCTGGCAATATAAGTTATGATAGAAAATGGTTTAGGTATAAAACTTTGGACTCACTATGATAGGACAGATAATAGGGTGTTTTCTCCAAATTTGCCAAATACAAATGGACGAACTGAACATTGTGAATGTAATTATTACCTGGTAATTGTTCTTATTGCATCTAGTTTTGATGTGTTAGAGTTAAAAATCTTTCTTTTTATTTAGATGAAAAGGGGGAAATACTATGGTTGGTCTTTCTTTCAACTGCCAAATCTCAAATAATGACATAGGAACTTTATATTAATTATGAAAGCTTGGCCTTATCTTAGGCATGTTCCCAACTAACTCTTATAACTTAGATTAACCCATTTATATTAATCTACTTTCTGTTACATTGCTTGTTACCTCTCTTCAGTACTGTGCATCCCACTTCCTCCATGTCTCAATGCTGAATCTTGCCTCTCTTCTTCCCAGAGTTCCCATCTCTGTCCGGAAGTTCCACCTATCCTCTCCTAGGTCGCTATTGGCTGTTCAGCTCTTTATTGAACCAATCAAAAGCTGCCTTGGCAGAGACACATCTTTATGTGTACAAAAAGATTATCCCACAACACAGCTTGCTCCTTTTCTTTATATGTCTCCATTAGAGTTAACACTAATAACCAACAACAGAATCTATACTAGGCTGTTTTGAGATTTCCTCTGCCAACAGAATTAATCCAAAACTTTTCACTTTAGCCTCAGGCAAACTTTCTGGACAATGGCAAAAGGCAGCTACATTCTTTACGAAAATATCTCAAGAACAATTTCTAGGCCACATGTTAATATTCTTCTCCTCTAAACCTTTTGAGCCAGCCCCTGACATTTGAAATAACTCTTAGCACCACTGTCTTCCATGCCCCTACTAGTATGGCTCATTAAGCAGTGCTTAAAGCATCCCACCGCTTTCCTAGCCTAAAGAACCAAAATCTAAATTCCTCCAAACAAAAACATGGTCAGGCTTACCACAGCAATACCCAACTTCTGTTTTAGTTAGGGTTTCTATTGCTGTGAAGAGACAATATGACTATGGCAACTCCTATTAAGGAAAGCATTTAATTGGGGTTGTTTGCTTACAGTTTCAGAAGTTCAGTTCATTATCATCATGGCAGGGAGCATGGTGGCATGCACAGACATGATGCTGGTTACACCTAGATTATAAGGCAACAGGAAGTCAATTGTGACACTGGGAGTAGCTTTAGCATCGGAGAACTCAAATCCCACTCCCACAGTGACCCACTTCCTCCAACAAGGCCACACCTTCTAGTACTGCCACTCCCTTTAGGGGTCATTTTCTTTCAAACCACCACAGATACCTACCATTATCTTCCTCAAGTTCCCAGTAACCAACATTCTATTTTCTGTCTCCATAGATTTGACTGATTTAGGGATCTTTCATAAGTAGAATCACGAGTTAGGTGTGGTGGCTTAAGTCTGTAATCCTAACACTCTGGGGACTGAGTCAGGAAGGTCTCTGTGAGTTCAAGACCAACCTGGGCTACATAGTAAGTTCCCTGCTGGTCTGTGCTGTATTGTGAGACCCCCTTCCTCAAGAAAAATAATTGAGCTAGGGACTAGTAGTGTAAGTCTTTAATCCCAGCACTCAGGAGGCAGAGGCAGGTGGATCTCTGTGAGTCTGAAACCATCCTGGTCTATAAAGTGAGTTTTTGGACAGCAAAGGCTACATAGAGAAACCCTGTCTCAAAAAGCATCAAGCAAACAAAAACAAACAATTAAAATTGTATGGAAGTTATTCTTTTGTGTCTTTAGGAGAAGTGTAAGAGTATAAATACTTAAATCCAATCCTAGGCCAATCCAATGATAATTTTGGAGAGCGAATCCCAGACACTGGCAGTTTTATTAAAGGCTCCCAGCGGTTCTGACGGACATCCATAGAAACAAGTAGGCTGAAGGTTTGAGTCAGTGAGTCCCTCCCTATCACAGACACACCCCAGCACCTGCTGACAGGTGCCTTGAAGTCTTATCTGAGAGTGACCCCTCCACGTGTTTAAGTGATTATTAGAGCAGCACAGTTATGATTTGGCCTCACTGTCTCTCCCAGGCTTGTGGTTTGAACACTTGCTCCCCGCTTGCTATCTTAGCAGACTGTGGAACTCCTGGCACTTGGGAAGGGGTGGGTTGAGGATGAAGGATCTAGATTTCAGGGTCATTCTCAGCTGTATAGATAGTGTGAGGCCAACCTGGGCTACGTGAGGCTCTATCACAAAGGACTGGGGTCACTGAAGTTCCTGTAGTTTGGTTTGCTGCCTGGGTGTATGGCATGGAGTCCATTCTATATAAGCTACCTTGCTTTCTGTCCTCCAGAGGAATGAGCACAGAGACCGCGGCTGCAGCTTAAACCTCAGACAGTGGCAACACCCATCAATCAAGTAGCTTAACTGGCAAAAGGAGGGAGTAGGCCTTTGAAGGTTCTGCCACGATGCCTGCAGTCTACCTGCTCCTTGGTTCACTGCAAAGGAAACAGTCTCTGCCACACACCCCTGCTCCTGAGATCTGAGCTACTCAGTCCCGCTCCCCCACCACAGTGGACACACGCCTGCTCCTGAGATCTGAGCTGTTTACTTAGCCCTGCTTCCCCACCATAATGGGCTGAACCTTCTGAAACCTAAAAGTAAAATAAATCTTGCCTCCCTCAAGATGCTTCTGTTGGAAATATGAAAGAGTGATTTGAAAGTACATACCACGGTAACCAACTCCGTTCTGTCTTCCCCAGCATGGGATTCAATGCTAAAGTGACAGGGAAGGGTCTGAAACAAAAGGTGTCTCTTCTCACAAAGTTTTTCATGGGTTTAGCTATGTCAGCGTGTGCGTACCTATGTGGGAGGGCCCTAGAAGACCAGAAGAGGGTGTCAGGTCCCCTGGAGCTGAAGTTACAGACAGTTGTGAACTGCCCCAGGTAGGTGCCAGGGGCCAAACTCAGGTCCTGTGTAAGAACAGAAAAGGCTCTTAACCACTGAGCTGTTTCTCCATTCCCCCTGTTGGGGACTTAAATGAGAGAAATAGTTAGACAATGCCTGACACCAGCCCGCTACTCCTCTGCCAACGCCCCTTTGTTCTTTCCTTACCTTTTTCTGTGGGGCTGGAGCATGGGGCTTAGTAGAGGGAAGGATGGACCAGGTCTGCAGCGGTGGCCCCCGTGGTACAGCAGCTGAAATCTCAGCCCCAGCAAACTTCAGTCAGGAGCAGTCTAAGATGACTAAAACCTCCATTGCTTAGAGGTCCCGCCCTGGGAGTGGCTCTGACATCTGCGAGGATAGACTTGCATGTGGGTGGCAGGGCCAGGCTGCTGGAGGCCCTGAGAATCTCTTGTGAGGCTTTTGAGGACAACCAGGTTCTCCTCCTCTGCTGGCTCTGGTCCTGTCGGACTCAACACACACAAAAGCCATGGGAACCCTTGAGGGCCACCTGCTGCCAGGAATAGGCTTTCTTATCTACTCGGTCTACTACTCGGTGCTAATATCCTTGGCCCTGCTACGGGGAGAGAAGGCCCTCCAGCACCCGCTGCTCCCGAGGAAGCTGCGGGGACACAGGCTGTTTCAGCAGGTATCGTATGAAGCCGTGACGAAGGTGGTTGTCCCCACCTTGGGCATTCTTGGTGAATACTTCTACCCCCTTGGGGTCAATCGCCTGCAGATGATAGATTGGACGGACCCCCGGCGGCCATTTATTTTCAAGGACAACTGGCAGCATGTAACCATGTTTGGGTTCTTTATTCTCAGTGGCGTAGCAGACATGGTGAGCCAGTCACACCTCCCCCGTTGGGGTGTGAAGCTGGAACGCGCGGCCGAAGCGCTGGCCTTCTATGTGCTGGTATTGCTGATGGCAACCCACATCGAGAACAAAAACTCCTTGGAGATCCGAGTGCATCTTCTGTTAATGCTACCCTCCTTCTTGCTTGCTGTGGTGCTCACTGTGGAGGTATGGATCCCCAACAATCCCTCGATCTGGCTCCTCAAGAGTTGGCTGGGGATGGTGTTAAGCAACTGGATGATGCAGCTTTGTGAGATGTACGTACCTCCCACTGGACAGCCCTGGCGGGCAGACAACCCTACAGACCTTGCCTTCCTAACCATCTTCTTCTGCTGGCATCTGGCCTTGGCGGCTGGCATGGTGATCGCCATCTATGGCCTCTGCAGTCTCTGGCACTGCTACTATTCTTCCTGGACAAAGACTCCTGGTGCTAAGTACCAGCGGTGCCCTATGGCATCCAGCGAAGAACTAGAAAAGCTCAAGGCAGAGGCCCTGGCACAGGATGGAGGTGTGTAGAGACAGAAGCTGCCTCTCGAGTGCTGTATGCACAACCTGGGATCCATAGCATGGCTTCCCACCCCAGGACTAGCTTCTTCTTCCTAAATAAAACTTCTGGCTCCAAGGATAACTTCTTGGTTGTCACTTTGTTCTGTCCAGGTCAGTGTCTTACCTGTTTCCTTATCTATATGGTTTCTGGTCATTCGTATGCAAAGAACAAAAGGATACTTTTCTGTAATAACTTTGGGGAGGTTTTTTTTTTTTTAAATAAGAAAAGAAACAAACTGAGTACGTCTACAGACTACTGAGAAAGGGATGACGAACTTGGTTGCATTGAGGAGGGGTTCAGGCAGTTTACCAAGGGTTCGAGTCAGGAGCGAGAGGAGTCTAAGGAGGAATTCTAGAAGGTGGTTGTAGTAAGGTGGTTAAAATATAATTTTGGGCTGGTGAGATGGCTTAGTGGGTAGAGGCACCTGCCACGAACCTCAGGACCTGAGGTCCAGCACCGTCCCTCAGTGTAGAAGGGGAGAGCCGACTCTTAAAAGCTGTCCTCTGGTAGTTCTGTGGCACGCATGCCTCCACACACACAGGGAAAAGAATAAGATGTAGTTAAAATGTTAAAGCAGATTTAAGGACTGGGGATATGTCTCACAGGCAAAGTGTGCACCTAGCGTGCATGGGGCTAGGCTCACTCTCTAGCCATGCAGAATCAAAAAGCAAACAAATAATTTGAAGTGGCTTAGTTTTTGGCTGCGATACGGGACAACTTGCTCCAACTCCTTCAGAAAGTCTATTGTGTGTGTCATATCCTATGTGGGCACTTCTGGGGAGAGACTGAAGAAGAGATCGGATACACTTGAGGATGGGGGAGGAGGAGAAGTCGCCGCGAAGTGGGGCCCATCTCTGTGGACATCGCCAAATGAGATGCAGACACCCAACATCTGGAAGCCTGAAGAAATGGCGGGATAGGAGGAGGGAGTCGGCAGGCGTGTGGAAAGGGGTAATGGAGAGAATTGGGCACCATGGAGCCGCTGCATTTGCTCTCCCCGTGCAACCAGGAGTGCTCTCCTTGAAGGACTGGAAGCTTCTAGAAGCACAGAGGGTTGTAGATAGCAGACAAGGCATTTAAAAATGTCACAGGCACCCTGGAAAGAAGCAATGACACGCAGTGTGTGGACAGTGGTGTCTGGAGAGCAGAGACTGGTGTAGAACAGGGAGTCTTACGCTAGCAGAAGGGCCTGGCCTCCTCTCCCCACACCCCAAGCCTTCTCTCCCCCGCACAGCGGGAACCACAAGCTGTTTTCTATGCCAAAATCCCAGAGCCAGAACCTGGTTCTGAGACTAAAAAAATCTTAAGGTGTGAGGTGCCTCAAGTTCTACGGCATGTTCATGAGTCTGGAACAGTGTTCATGTTATCGTTGATAATTTGTATATCATGAGTCATTCACCAAAGTGAAAATTTAATTTTTTTCCCTCTAAAAACTGGTCTCCAAGGTGCATAAGCTTTGTACTCCGTAGAACCTGGCTCTGCCTCATCCCACAGGCTTAACGTGCTGACAGGGCGTGCCAGACAAACCCATCTCTCCTGGATTGACAGCGCATTCTTCCTAAGAGGGTGGTGTTAAAACTTGTCCATAGGCAGCCTGAAAGAGAAGCTTAGGATGTGAGCTGCATTGCACACAAGTCGGGAGTCACTTGCTGAGGTGTAAGTCCTAGGTCAACAATAGAAATGAGGGACTGGGGCATAGCTAAGAGGTAGTGTGCTTGCCTGGTACGTCAGGAAGCCTGGGTTCTAGCACCACACCAGCACCACACAGACAAGCAGATGTGAGAGTTAGCAGATCCTACGCATGGTTTAGAGAAAGGCATGGGAGTTAAGGGAAGATGGTTCCGCAGCCGGAGACAGGCACAGGTTACACAGGTTGATCACTGTACCTCTCTGTAAAGGGTTTGTCTGCACATCGGGACCTTGTGGGGTACATTAGTCACTGTTTAATAAAGAAGACAGGATGCTGAGAGAGAGAGAGAGAGACAGACAGACAGACAGACAGACAGCAAAGCATGACATCTCCAAAACTCTGCAGGACAGGACAGGAGGACAGAGGCCAGGGGCAAGTAGAAGCCTCATTCTTGAATTCCTAAGTTTTGTACAAATAGAGACCTCTCAGGGGGTATTAGCTCTTGCTAGGACTTTCAATGGCTGCATGAATAAATCCTGTGCTCACTGTAAAGGGTGAGTTTCTTGTTCAAGCGCTGCTTTAAGTGTTAATCACACCTGAAAAATATCACCGTAGTCACAGCTACAAGGATATGTGACCAAACTGGATGCTACAGCCCAGCCCAGATGACATAAAGTCAGCTGTCATACCCAGCACACAGGACATTGCCATCGGACACTTTTATTAGCTTGGAATCTTTGGAGACTTTCCAAAATAACAATACTAATTTTATTTTAGAGGAATTTCACCATTAAGAGCCTGACTAGTGTGTTAATATACATGTGATCTGACCTGGACTTTGGTTCCCAGCTTTATCGAGTGGGGGAAGAGTTTATAGATAGGTGACAGCTATCTTTTTGTTGTTGTTTTGCTTTTTTCGAGACAGGGTCTCTCTGTGTAATTCTGGCTGTTCTAGAACTCACTCTGCAGACCAGGCTGGCCTCGAACTCACAGAGATCCACCTGCCTCTGCCTCCTGAGTGCTGGGGTTAAAGGCGTGTGCCACTATATCTGGCTGGTGACAGATACCTTAAAAAAAAAAAACAACGTTCAAGGGATTTTTAAAAAATTTTATTAATGTGCTGTGCATATATAAATTTATTACTATACATTTTGCATTTTAGACATTTTAGAAAATGTTGAAAAGTATTTTGAAACATGTCCGGTGCCATAATCCCAAACTAATTATTGCCAACAGGGCTAATGGGTTGATGACAGGGCTTTTTTTGCTGACATCTCAAATCATGCTTGGTGACTCAGGCAAGGTAAGGCAAGAGGCTTAGAGGAAAGATCCTTAAGATGAAGAAACCAAGAGCGGGAACCTAGTGTTGTGGGAGGGAATTGAGAAAGGATGATCACAATACGAGGAAATGACAGCCCTGGGTTGGGGAATCCCGAGCCTTTGTCCTCAGTGAATTCAGAGGTCACCATGGAGAAGGATGAAAGGGAAGACACCGAGGACAGGTGACCTTCAGAGGGGGAAGTGACCAGGGGTAAGCAGGAGAGGATGGCTCAGAGACAGCAGTGGGGACTCACCCCCGCAATCCCGGAGCTGAGAGGACCGGCCGCAGCGGAGGCCACTCTGGACCACGTGAGCGCCTGTTTCAAAAAGAGCAAATGAGAGGAGCCAGGGAGATGGCTCAGGACTCTGCAAGCACGAGGCCTGAGCTTGAACATTCAGCACAGAGGTAAGTGGACATGGCGGTGTGGGCCTGTCACGTCAGCATTCGGGGCAAAGGCAGCAGACCTCACTGGCCGGCCAGCCAGCAGAAATGGTGAGCTTCGTGCCCTAGTCCATGTGTGCCTGCACACCACCATGCTTCCCGCCATGACAATAATGGACTAAACCCTCTGAAACTGTAGTATTGCAGGTTTCTGATCATGCTGTGAACCCCCAGATATAGTAATTTCCCGAAGAAACATGATTGTAGTTGTGTTGTTTCAGCCCTAGACACACCTTTTCTCCAAGAGTTTTCTGCTTGAACATTGTAAACAGTATTAAATAAAACAACTACAGGTCCAGAGGCAGAGCAAGCAACCATTTGACAGGAGGAAAAGCCATCCAGAGTTAGAAGGAATCAGGAGCATGGACAGAGAGACATTCAGGGGGAGGGGGCTTTTGGGGAGAGCTTCACCCGTCTTTTCCATACTGTGGGTAACAACAAAAAATGAAGGGCAAAAGAACCAAGAACCTTGCTGGGGCAATCGCCTTCAAAGGGTTTCCCTAATATTCTTCCAGTTGGTGTGTGAAGAAGAAACATTGAATATCAAGCTATCTAGCAAGAGTTGTTACAGAAATAAGGTGCAAATGTGCTATTATAGTATATACTACAAAATGCAGAAAATTTCTTTATTTGGCTGGTATGGGAGCTTTCTGTCAATGAACCATACTGAATGAAACAGTAAAAACGAGGTTAAGAAACAGACTGATTGGCTTTGTTTTTATTTCAATAATGACAATAAATTACAGCTTGAAAAAAGATGAAATGGTGAGAATGGTGAGCTTCTGGTTCAGTGGGAAGCCCTGTTTCAGGACAATAATACGGAGAGTGATGGAGGAAGACCCAGTGTTCTGTCTGCTCTGGCCTCTGTATGGGCACACACAAAGTGAAAACCAAGACCAGTTAAATACACTGGAGAAAAAGATACTTAGGGCCAGGCAGCATTTCAGAGCAAAGATGTTCCAGGACATCCCCTCCCTCCAGAGGTTATATTTATAGGCAGTGAATAGGAAATGGCATGCAGAAACAACCTGACTAGGGACTTGGATTCAGTCAGTAAAATGCCTGCCCTGCAAGTCTGAGAACCTAAGTTTAGAGTCACAGCATCCACAGAGAAGCCAGGCATGGCAGCATGCATCTATAATCCCAGAACTGAAGGGACAGAGAAGTGGGTTCCTAGAGCTAACCGGTCAGGGAATCTACTCAATCGCCATTCTTTGGATTAACTGGGAGACCCAATCTCAAAAACTTACTTGTGGGGAAAATAGTAAGACACTTGAAGTTAACCTCTAGCCTCCACATACATATGCACAGATATGCATATAGATACACATAAGCACACCCATACAATCATGTGTGTATTTTATATATGTGTTACAAACATCCCTCTCCTCCCCCCACCACATAAGAAGACAATAGCCTCTTTTGGTTGCAGTTGTTATTTCGTATGGTCATATTTTAAACAATTTTTTAATTTACTTATTGATTTGTGTGTGTGTGTGTAAACACATGTGCACACATACACACATGCACAAATAGGTGCCGTGGTGTGCACATGAAGGACAGAGGATGACTTTGCG